ATGTAAATAGTGGGGTCGCCCAGGGCAGGGGGCGCCGCTCACCTCACCTGGGCTGGGCTGCTCGTGTCCCCCTGCCCGCCCGGGTGGCGGCGGAAGCGGCCCGGCTGCGGCCACCTCACTTCACAGCCAACGGGCGGCGGGGCGCCGCTGCGGGCGCGCGGGGCTTCTCGGCTTTGCAGTCGCTCCCCGGGGAGCTGCGGCCGCGCGCGGGCACGTCCTGATCGCTTGACACGGGCTCGATCGTGGGGAGAGCCAAGCTCCCGGGTGGGTGAAGGCTTAAGGTCAGGCCCCTGCGTGGGAAACTCCGTGCAGCTGCCTTCAGGGCGGGGGGGTGACACATACGCTTTTTAGTTTTGCAGTGTAGAAAGAGTCACGCCACGTCGTGGCTTCTCGGCAAGACAGTCGTTACAAGCTAGAAACGGGCTGCAGGAAGTGATTACAAACGCCGGCTTCACATCCCTCGTGGGCAGGAAAGCCCCTCGCCTGCATAAGAGCTGAGCCTCCCGGCTCCCAGGAGGGCCAAGTGATCCTGTGCTAACACCGGTGGGAAGCTGAATGAAAGAAAGGGTTTTTGATGGCCCATGTTAGTAATTTTGCATTTAAAAATATTTTAGGTAGCTGTAGCAATGTGATTTCAGGTGTTGGTAATTTTCCTTCTGTCCTTTTTCTAAATCTCAAAGATCCTTTCAAAGTAAGCAAACCCAAAAGTAAGTAAATAAATAAATAAAAATCTGAGTATGTACTGGGCGAGTCTTGGATGCATCTTCACTAATGAAAATGGCTGTCTACACTAGTGGGACCACAGCTGTGTAGATGTACCAAGCTAACTTTAAATTACCTAACCCAGGGGTCGGCAACATCTTTGGACAGTGCCAAAAACATTGGCAACCTCCACCTGTAAAATGTTGGCGTGTTAGAGGCAGACAGCAAGTGAGCCGTGAGGGGCCTGATCCTTGTTGTGGCAGTGCAGCCCTTCCACACCACCTGCCAACATGCCTTCACATGCCATGCTCTGGCACCTATGCCAGGGGTTGTCTAACCCTGACCTAAGCTAGGGTGATGTTAAATAATAAGGGATGGCCAATATAAATTTTCAGATTATGAGCAGACCCTGAGATCTGTGCTCCTGGAGCTATATACCATATCAGTTCCTGAGCTAGCTAAAGCTTAAAGCTCCTTTGAGTATATCTACACAAACTGCAGTCACACTTTTGACTATTGTATAGACATGCCATTTTGCAAATTAAATAACTGAAATAAGATCTGGAGGAGGGCAAGGCAAGCAGATTTTGAATGAGTTCCAATTAAGGCTATGGTTTTGTCTTTTTTTTAACCTAATTGCAAATGAAAACTGTAAGTTGCCTTCTGCTTACCATGCTGAGTTATATAATTTTATCCTGAATTATCTAAATTGAATTAAGAATGTACCTTTTTTCCTAAATACAGGGCTCAGGTGGCTGGGAGCAAATAGTCATAAGGTGAAATATAGTCTTGGCTCCACTCTGCAATAGGCAGAAAAGTGGTGCTGTTATGTCAGGCAGCATCCCAAATATAGACCTGATCCAATTTAATCCCTCCCAAAGGCAGCAGAGAGATTCTGACCCTTGAGTCACTCTGAGGCCACGTGTGCATGAGAAGTGCACAAGAAGTATGCCAGTACATTATGCAGGCAGAGGTCTCATAGCATTCAACACAGCTTATATTAGCAAGACTTGCTTTTGCTTGTACAAGTATAATTTATTTCAGCTTCACTGAGCAAAATAAGCTAAACCAGCAAAACTACTATTTTGCTGATACGACTGCATCTGTACTATGGGCTTTTGCCAGCATAGCCTTGTTGATCATGGATCACACCTGACTGACATCACTATGCCAGATGTTTGTAGTTTAATCATGTACTAAGTCCCAACTTTCCTTCCAGGCTTCTTCACAAGACAGTGCAACAAGGCAACACTACTTTTTTTAAAGACATTGTTTTCTCACAATCTAACCCTTATCTAATTCTTTTTTTTTTTAAAGCAGAAAAGCCCCCATCTCCTGTTTTGGGCATTTTGATAATACCCAAAATGCAGTCTAAAAAAACGGCAGAAAAGTTCCAAGGAAAATTCCTTCAAAATTACATTCTTAATACAGCCCAACAGGCAGGACTTTCTCTAACAAAGCTCCCATTCCTCATATGTAGTTCTCCCATTAGGTCTCACTTTCTTCAACTGCTTGGCTTAAACAGAGAGACCCTGTAGTGTGTAAGGATCAGCTAGCATGGATTATTTCAGATCACTGATAGAAACTTATGGCAAAAATTAGTACCTCCCATGGACATTGCTGTACCACCCGTCCATTGTCTATTAAACCGGAGGAACTTTATCTCAGGTGCCTTTGCTGACCATATTGCAGTGGTGTGGCATAGGGCATGTATTTCTTTAAGTAAACAGGTTCCAAGTCATTTAGGAGTTTATAGGTTAAAACCAATATCTTAAATTTCACAGGAAAACCAAAAGGCAGCTAGTGTAGCTTACACTGCACGGATATCATGTTTTTAGTAAAATGCATCACTTTTACCACCTACTGAAGTAACACAAAATTCTAGGTTAAATTCAAGGTATAGTTCAATGTAAATCATGATCCAGTAAGCCAGCCTGAAGGTAGCAAGGCGTGGGTCATAGAAGTCAGGTTCCCAGCAAAAGAAACGATAACAATGTCCTGGTAAAGGCAAGGTATTTTAAAAAGTATTTCTGGTAACTGCTGCAATAACATAATCTAACCACACTTTTACAAGATTTTGAGAAAGCAGAGAAGCCAGAGAAAACAGAAGATGTTAACCAGTAATTCTATTAAAATGAGTTTCACTAAACAGTTGTACTATCAGAAATCGAGGCTAAGTTTAAGGGAAATCAAGTTATTTCTATTCTTGCTTCAAATATCTCAACTTATCTCTTTTTCTAAAACCATCTCTACATAGAAAAGTTGGCCTATTTAATTACACCAGTGTGTAGAAAATACTGTATCTTTCCCTAGTGTGAACATGACAGGGATATAAAAGTGCTATCTGTCAGCAGAGAGAGAGCTAGCTGTGTTTTCCTGAAGCCATAGAGTCTTAGAAAGAAGGGCTGGAAGGGAACTTTGGAGGTCATCTACTCCAGCCCTGTGCTCAAAGTATGATCACCCCATACAAGTCAGAGAGTAAACCTGGGGAGCGAGCCTGGGCTTAGCTAGTCAGGAATATATTGGTCCCTGCTTTCCTTAGTCCAGCTAGGTAACCTCAATGGCTGACCTCTGCTGCCAAGCTCTATGGTCATGGAGATGTCCCCAGACCCTAGTAATTTGTTAAAATCACATACATCAGTTAGCTGTTCATCATTTATCCTTGTTAGCTTCCATGGCCTGAAGATCCAAAAGTGCACAGAAGTCATTTGCAAAGATCAGCCAGCTCCCTCTGTCCACCACCATGGTTGCTTCAGTCATATACGATACTCAGGGGCTCACCAAAGGCCTACTACCAATATTCCTCAGTGCCTGGCATAGGGGTTGGGTTATTGACCCAGATGTTGTTGGGCTCCCACTCCACTTCCAGGTACTTGGTCAATTCATTACATCTACAGCTGCTCTGGCAGTCTTGGCATGCACCTGAAGAGCCTGCCCCTTGTATCTCATGGTTTTTGTGATGTTAATAACCCCACCATCATCCAGCAAGCAATTCTTATACAGAACTTTGAAGACACTAAAAGTTCTAAGGGTGTCTATATCAATCACCATCTTGTAGGCACTGAAGGACAATACAGATGCTGGACATAAATTTCCTGCAGCATTGTTAATGAGGATGTCAATTTACCCATACTTTCAGTCTGTCAGAAGACAGGGTAGGTAGGCACCTTTACAGAGTAACTAAACAAGATATATAGAATCACAGAAAGTTAGGGTTCAAAGGGACCTCAGGAGGTCATCTAGTCCAAACAGGACTGGGCGCACAGATTACCACAGAGTAAAAGGGGCAAGCTTAACTGCACTCAGCTGTTCTGAGGTAGCTCTGTGGATACACATTTTATTTCCCACATGGTATAGCTTAATAGTTAATGTGTGACAGTTTACCCCTTAATGAAAGAGGGCTAAGGGTAAGGCATTGACAATTACCACAAAACATACATAGCAATTTCTCATCCTCCTTTACCTTGGAGTAACTTATTTGTGTGCCTGTCCCCTGTTATAAGTATTTTAACTATTGTGGCATTAAAATCACCACACATAACTCACCAAGATGTTTATACTGTACCAGTATAACATTTTTGCAGGCCTAACAGCTTGATACCCTGCGTGGAACCTTAAGTCATGGACATGCCAATGGGTTTATGTAAATATATATATATATATATATATATATATATATATAATGCGTAGAATGCCTGACACAACCCCCCAGAACTGATATAGATTTGACCCAAGCAGGGATGTTTTTCCCATGAACTAATCTATTGGCAATCTCTTACCATTTTCCTTACAGCCACTGAATACCTCTCACAGCTAAGCCCATTCATGTGTCCAAGGCTGAATCTGCTTATGGAACGCCTGATTTGCCGCAGCTGTGAAGATCTGGGTCAACTTCTTTCTTCTTGCTACATTATTCTTATGTGTACTTAATTGAGCACCCCATTTTGGTGAAAATAGTTTCTGTTGGACACTTTTACATTCTTTATTCTTCTTCTTGCTTGGTTTCTAGGTGTGTTTCTAAAAATTCTGATGAAACGATGCAAGTCTGATTTTCTTTTTCTGCTGTTGCTGTATTATGAAGAGGATCAACTAGCAGAGTATTTGAATTCTGTAATTATTCATTTCCTTGAAGCTTTTGGCTAAATTCTGCTCCCATGTCAACCAAAGTAAGCTCATTGGGTGCCTCCAGACAAGTGCACGTGCCTCTTGCTGCATTTTAAAGCAATTTGAGATGCCGCAAGAGGCATGCTGGAAACAAAAAGAACATTCCCCGCGCTGCATATTTGCAGCGCAGGCTCAAAATCTGATACCTGGAAATCCAAGTATAAAAAAAACCACCCCCCAGAAAAAAGGTGGGGCAGGTCACGGTCCAGGCCCTGAGACAACTGGAGGCTAGGGTCCTCCAAAAAGACACTTTGGTAGCCAGCCAAAGCATCTCTATGGCTTCTCCTTGCCCCGGTGCTGCAGCACACTGCCTGCCCATACAGGGTAAACAGCAATGCAGGCTGCACTGACCTGGACCTGGGCTCCATTCCAGGTAAGTAGGGGGTGGAGGGGGACAGGAGGGAGGGGCTGTGTGGATGCACGGGACCATGTGGGAGGGCTGCTCAGGAGGGGTGGGTCCCTCACCTGTCCCCTGCAGGGCCCATGTCACCCCCGTAGGGCACCCTCCCCCCGCCCATAGCCCACAACCCCCTGCAGCAGCAGCAGCCATTGGGATGCTCAGGGCCCTCCTGGCACAGTCCCCTGCAGTGTGGGGCAGTATGGCTTGGCCCCGGTTGCCTGGCACCCTACGCTTCGTGTGCCACATTGTGCAGGCCCAGCCTAGCTTGGCATGGGGCCGTGAGCCTTCAGGCAGCTACGGGCTGCTTGGGCAGTCACCCAGGGCCCAGCGCTGCTTGAAGGAACCGTCTGTCACGCCAGGCCAAGTTCTGCCTCCACAGAACCGGCCTGGCCTGATGGTCCACAGGGCCCGTGGAGGTAGGACCTGGCCCAGCATGACAGGCAGTCCCTGAGAGCAGGACCAGGCCCTGGGTGACAGCCCAAGTGGCCTGGAGCTGCCTGAAGGTGCACAGCCCTGCACCAACCCAGGCCAGACCCACGCGATATGGCATAGGCAGTGCCAGGTGACCAGGGCCAAGCCATGCTGCCCTGTGCCATGGGGGGCTGTGCCAGGATGGCTGCTGCTGCTGCAGAGGGGCTGTGGGCCATGCAGAGGGGCCTCTAGCACCCCCTGGCTGCAGATCCAGGAGAAGCTGGACAGGGTCATTTTGCCCCAAGTGACAACTTGCCCCACACCAAAGTACAGGTCCAGGCACATGCGCTGAGGCAAAAATCCCTGGAAAAAATTTGTGCCATTCCTATTTATGCTGTTGCAAGTGTGCATGTGTGGACGTACCCATTGATTTCAGTAATGTTGTGGTGATCCGAGAACAGAACTTGGCCCTTCATTTAATTAATGCTGCTTTCTCTCTTGATAGGTTTGTTTATGTAATGTATGTGCTGTTGGGAATTTAATTTCCCCTGGTGACACTTAGCTACTAGTAATGGTCAAACAGGATTCTTAAGGATTAATATTGTTATGCTTCTATGTAGGAGACAATTTCCTGCAGCATGGAACATGAACCAAACCTGATGCTTACAAATGTTTGATGGTAGATCTACCCTTGCAAGCCTTGCCAGTGGAGATGTAACCATTAAAACAAACTTTTGTCAGCATAAGCTGTCTCCAATAGCAGGGTTTAAACAAGTTTTCTCAACAGAATAAACTGTACTTTTCTTCAGTCTTCACAAAATAAATAAACTGCAACTAGTCAATTAGCAAAAGCATTGTAATATAGAGAAAGAAGGGGAAGGGCTGAGGGCCATACGTAAAGATTGCATCAGAGAGCTTTTGAAGAAATCCTTCCTTTGTTGCTGGCTGAAAAAATCTTGAAGCCATTAACAGTAACATTTGTAAGGTCACAGAGGATAGGAGGACCAGAGAAGACCTAAAATAGTGCCCAATTTTAGAAAGAAAAAAAAGGCAGACCCACACAGTTGTAGATTGGCCAGGCTGATGTCAGTCCTAGGACATTATTGGAACAATTAAACAAAACAATCAATCTGGAAACACCTAGAGGAGGAAGAGGTGATCAACAGCAGCCAACATGGATCTGTGCATGCCAGATCCTATCAAACCAACTTGATTTCTTTCTTAAAACAGGGTAATTAGTATGGAGGAAGGGCATACAGTGGATTCGCTTTGACTTTAGTGAGGCTTTTGATACAGTCCCCATGACATTCTCGTAAGTAAACTAGAGAAACATGAGCTAGATAGAATTACTGTTGGGTAGATCCATAAATGGCACAATAACTGTAAGCAAAGGGTAACTATAAATGGATTGATATCAGAGTAGCAGGAGGTTTCAAACAGGGTTCCACAGGGATCTGTTTTGGGTTCAGCGCTATATAACATTTTTATTATGGTAATGACTAGGTGCTGAAATACACAGTTTCCTAATCAAGTCTGCAGGTGACAAGTAGGAGAAGTTGCAGACACTTTGAAGGATAGGAATAAGATAGCAATTCAAAAGCAACTTGATATACTGGAGAACTGGATTACAGAAAACAAAATGAAATTCAGAACAGACAAATGTAAGATGTTATATCAGGATGGACCATTATTTTGGCTGGAGGACTGCTTAATGAGTTTTGGTGTGCGGTTGAGGGCTGCAAGGGTAGCTCCACCCCTTAACAGATGCCCCACACCCTGGTTGCTATCTTGGAACCAGAAGTCCCATCCCCTAACCCCTGACCTTTGTCATGAGAAGTCCCAATCCTTGCCTCCAGAAGTACTTCTTTCATGAGGGAGGTTTGCCATCTTGGAACCTGAAAAACAAAACAAATCATGCTAAAAATCAAACATCTACTACAACGTATTTTAATTTTATTTAAAAAAATATGTTTGTCCTGATATATGTGTGTTTGAGAAGTGTATATAGAGGAGGCTGCATAATAGCTAAAAATGAAGTCTTAGTATTGTATATTGTTGTATGGTAAGTGTGTGGGGAGTGTGTTTGTCTGGTGGCATGTGGTGTGTGTGTGTGAGTCAGTGTGCGGTTTGTGGGGGGGCATGGGCTTGGGGTGTACATGTGGGGGCCCCCCACATCCCAGCACACAGCTCCCACAGCTGGTGGCAGCAGCAGCAGGCAGCAGACCCTCTGAATGCTTATGGTCCATGGCTGGCAGAGCCCCCGGTGGTGTGAGGCTCCATCCAAGACCAGGGATCTGCACATGGTGGCAGGGAGCAAAGCCAGGCTGCCCCAGCTCTGTTGCATGGGACTCCCTGAAGCTCATGTGCAGCTCCCAGGATTTGGCCAGAGCTGTGCACCACCAGGGGAGCCCCACACCATGGAGCTGGTGGCCTGATCCTGCTCCCTGCCACCACATGCAGCTCTTGGGACTCAACCAGGACTGCAGGGAATGAGGCCAAGCTAGCCTGGCTCCATCACATGGGGCTCCCCACCACTCCTGGCCAAGTCCCAGGAGCTGCATGTAGCAGCAAAGTGGGGTGAGGCCACCCACTCCATCGTGTGGGGCTCCCAGTCCAGTCCTGGGAACTACATAAGCCACAGGGAACCCTGCATGATGGAACTGGGCCAGTCCCATGCTCCTGGTGGCCTGGGCCCCACGCTTCTGCTGCCCCAGTCTCTGTGCTGCCACCCCAACCCCATGCTCCTACTGGCTGTGGCATAAGTCTCACCCTTCCACCGGCCCCACCAGGCTCTGCACTCTTACCACCCACCTGCAGCTTCCCCCTGCCCACCACTGCTTCCCTACCTGCTGTCCCAAGTGGTGCAGCAGGGACTGGAGGAGGACCTGCTGGAGGCTGGGGGAGCTGAGCAATACCCTGGGTAGCTGCAGTAGTGTCAGTAGCAGAACCTCCCACAGGTGAGTGTGGGAGTACAGCACACTGCTTCAGTGGGGCTTGACTCCACACAGAGCACAGCCAAGCTAAATGCAATTAATTGGAGGATGCCCATCCGTTGGCTAGATGAAATTGCCTGGTGAGCCATATTTTTCCTGGCCCTGTGTTATACCTAGGGAAGAAAAAACAAATGCACAAATATAGAATAGAGATAATTGGCAATGTAATTTAGAAGGATCTGGCGGGATTTGGTGGATCACAAATTCGGCAAAGCCAGTTATCAAAATGATACTGTTGCAAAAAAGTAAATGCAAAGGATGCGTTAACAGCAGTAGTGTATGTAAAACACTGGATGTGATAGTAGAACTTCCTAGATCTTAAATACCGAAGGCTGCAAATGAGACAGGAACACAGGAAAAACACTGGTCACCACCTGCTCGCTTTCTTTTTCAGCACCCACTCTCTGCCACTGTGGGACACAGGATACTGAGCAAGATGGAGCTGTGGACTGACCCAGTGAATGGCAATGCTTTTGTTTTTATATGTAGTGTGCTACTCAGCACTGGTATTTTGTGCATTTTGGACTACACATTTTAGGAAGGAAGTAGAGAAACCGGAGTGGACCAGAAGCCAGGAACAAAGATGATAAAAGCGATTTGAATCCAGCCCAAGGAAAGGTTGAGAGAACCAGGTATGTTTAGTCTGGAGAAAAGAAGAGTAAGGAGGAATATAGTAGCAGTTTTCAATATATGAAAGGCTGCTATAAAGGAAAACAATTGTTCTCTCACCACAGAGGGCAAGACACAAAGCAATGGGTTTAGACTACAGATGTCTTAAATTAAAGCTCAGAAAAAAAAACCCACTGCCAAGAACAGCAGGGTAATAGAACAAGCTGCTAAGGGAAGTTGTAGACTTTCC